CTCTAACCCTTGTAAACTATCAGTAATATAATAAAAAATAAAACCATAAGAAAATGCTTTTTACTAATCACTGAAAATAATGTGTTTTGCTGCTCTGGGAGGTAAAGCTATAATGTCTGTTCTCTAAAGGGTTAATGTTCAGGGGAGGGAGGGGCTAGTTGTGTGAGTGGAGAGAGACGAACCACGCTGCCTGCATCTGGGACAGAGGATTCGGAGGAGCTGTGTTTTTTTTTTTTGGGTCCAGGTAGTTGAAGCTGCCCCGTCATGTTGATTTTTAAACATATTGTTGAACTCTTAAGAGTTTTTAGATGACTATGACAGCATTTTTGCAAGCTGAGAGTCATTATGATAGCTTTTTAGCTTTACTAATTTAGCAAATGCTCTGCCCATCGATGTCCGCTCTGAGTAAACAAATGAAGCTCAACCTGGCAGGGAGGCATGTAAAGCCTGGCAGAACGCGGTGGGAATTTATCGTTTTTATCGCGAGATGACAAATAATTACCATGGTGAATGCCTTCGACGGTATATCACACACGATAACATATCGCCCATCCCTAGTGGGCAGATGTATACTTATATTAGCTCACCTCTTCTCCTGTGACCTTATTCCCATCACTTCTTACTCATCAAGAAAAATATTCTTAACAAATGAATGTATCCAACAACACTGTCACTTACAACTCCTTTTAAGTTTAAAACCTTTGAAACTTGAGACAGTTTTGTTTCAAGATTAAACTCCAACTTACAAGTTTACCCTAAAAGCCTTTTTTATGGTGAGAAGAAAAAAATAAAGTGAATTTGTATTTTGCAACACAGTTGAACTACTTTAATTTTTTTAAGAGCAGATCGAATCAGAACTTCCTGAATCTAAACTGAACTGATTTAGGGAAATGGCCTCGATACCCTGGTTATTAGTCCTTGTATAAAACTCTGCAGTGTGTGTCAGTGAACTGCACTTTTAGGTACAGTTCATGTAAAGCCAACATTTGGTCATGCTAGCTGTAATATTTACATCAACACARTAAGATTTTCTGACTTTCTTGTCATTCATACTGTAACACATTTTACTGTACCTTATTGTAGTAGCCGTAGGTGATTGCATTTGGATGAACTCCAGCCTTCTTCATCTCAAAGAGGACCCTGACAGCCAGGACAGGTTGGCCGTACTGTCCACAGAGCTGCATCAGGACCCGGTAACAGACCTGTGTGTGTGAAAAAAGCACAGAAATTATGAAATATACACATTATTTATTTTCAGATTTTTTTTAAATCAGTGCAACACAACTGAAGTACCTCATCAGGGGGCTGCAACTTCTTTGACTGCATCTTCCTGAGCACGTCGTAGGCRGTGCGAAGTGCCCGTACCTTCGAGTGACACACCTTCACGTACGCAGGCAGGCAGATGAACCACAGACCATAGCAGTGACGGAGCAGACACTTGGACCACAGCTGAGGGATGGACGAGTACTTCTTAGCTATCTTCTGGGCTGATTTGATTTCCTGTGAATGAATATTTGGACAATGTGTCATTAATAACAATGTTTGAGAATGTGGAACTTTTGCTGGAGATACTACAGGGTGTGAAACAAACCATCATCACCCTCACCTGAAAAAAAAAATCATTGTTTAAAAAAATTGTCTAAAAGCAAACAAACAAAACTGACTGTCCAGACTATATGTTCACTTTTCTTTTAAAAATCTAAATTAAGTTTAAATGCAGTTCTATAAAGTGACACTAATATTTTGCTTGGAGGTTTTTCTTCTGACTTTAGATATCAGATCATCTCACAACAGTGTTTGCCAAAACACGTTGGACTTTACTGACAATTTACAATTGTCCATCAACAAAACTTAAAACTGTCAGACATGTTGACCAACGTGCTTCTCAAACCTAACAAATAAATTATTTACACAGAAAATCCCTGTGGATTATCTGTGTGTCCCACTGTCCAGGCAGACATCTCTGCCGAACATTTTTTCAGTGGGACAAAAGAGATAGTCAGTGATTGGTTGGCTGCCGCAATGCGTTCTATCCAGGATTTTGATTGGTTTAGGCACCAGAAGCCCTAAGGATGTTATCTGGCTACAGCGAGGTAAACTAATTTCTTTATAATTTTATAAATTTGTGGATGTTTTCTTGTGTTTCTGGTGTTTTCCGTTGTTTCAGCATCATTTCTTAAAAGTATGTGTTAACTCCTAATACTTTTTTTGATTATTTCTGATCAATTCTGTCGGTTTATTAGATTTTTTTGAGCAGCATGAGTAAACCTCTGGTAGAAAATTAAAAATCATTTATTATTATTTTTACTAATACTCCAGCAGATTACAGTAATACTGTTTCCTCTCTTTTTTTTCCAAGCATGCTTAAGTGGCTACAAAATGGGGACCTCAAAGGCCACCAAGCCTGGAACCAAGCCAAACTACAAAAGAAATAGAAGTATTAGAAATGAGGAAATCAGCACAGGAGAGGAAGATGAGGAAGATGTGGAGCCTGGAGCAGTTGCAACAGCTTCTACTATAGTGACTATCTGAAGAGGACAGGGATGTGCCAGATTGTAGTGATTCAGATGATGATGCAGATCATGAGATCTTTGATGAACAGGACTTTGAGACCAACTGTAGGAAACTAGAGGACTACTGCTGCTGCACTTTTGATTTCAGTGCCTCTTTTGAGGAAAAAAATTACAGTAATTTCAATAATTCTGAACTGTAATCTGATATTTATTTATTGCTAATAAAAGTGTTTTGAGTTCACATATAAATCTTTTATATATCGATAAAACTCCTATTTGTTGAAGGTACAGTGAAAATAATGTTTGCATTATTGTAGGGGTAACCCTGGTGAAATATTCATTTCTATTTTTTGTCTTTGATTTGCTTATACACTTATAAGAAGAAAGTCATTTTAAAGTTTGTTTTTTTTTTTCTTTAAAGTGAATGAAACAATATGTATGTTCTATATGTGTTTTCATTTAATCTTTTAAAAGAGGTTATAATCAATATATCATTACTCAAAGTTTTATTTAATTAATCTTTGCATCTCTTTATTACAGAGTATAACACTGTGAAGGGAAAAGAGTTGAAATGTGTTTTAATGTTTTTCTTAGTACTGGTTTATTAATCATGGTTTTATCATTTTTAAATTGATTTAATAATTAATTATAATGTACTATTAATCCATTGGTGCAAAGGTGTGACTTATAACCTCAGTGAAGTGATTTCTAAGTCCACCAGTTTAGTCTGCCTTTTTCAGACTTCCAAGGTTTTTGCTGATAACAACTTGCAGCTGGTGGGAAAGACAGATTGTTTACCTTCTCACTCTCTTTCCTCTCAAAGTACTAATTTTTTTTTCTATTCAGACAGTTAACAGTTGTTGTTCGTGTCTGTCCGTCGGAGCGAATGGTTCTGACTGGGTTTTCTCTGAGGTGTGCGTGTCCGTCTCTGGGCACCTGCATGGATGTAAACCTKSATGGATGTTACTAACTGCCAAGCACCTGCCTGAGACGACCAGCGCCGAGAGCCTGTGAGGCTCGTTAGGGGAGACGAGAGGCTTCTCAACCCCTAGCTGTCATGGAGACATTATCCACCTGCGGGCTTCAATGCTGACAATCTCAAAACCGTCTACCTGCCTGGCTGTCGGCCATGTCTGAAGACATCAAAAAGGTAGAACAAAGTGTTTGCTGAGATGGGTCGCCGAGGTGAAGTCTAGCCCGGAGATGTCTCGTGCTGTGACATGCTGTTTGCTGGTCTGGTCTAATTTAAAGAACAAGTGCTAAATCACTAATTTCTTTTCCTCCTATTCCTTAAAGCTTAAACTTTTATCTTTATTCTCTTATTTACTTAAAACTTAGTCAAGTAGCGTGCCAGTAAAGTTACAACACCTGGAACTTACTGTTTGTGACAACTCTGAGGTGAAATTTTTATGTCGAAAGTTATAACTTGTGTTCATTTATTCATATAATATTTTTAATAAATGTTTGTATGTTTAATCCTGTTCATATATCTAAAAATAAATTACTTTATTTTGGAAATACGTTCAGGTCACAAGTTTTCATTTCTCTTTCATAATCAGAGTTGATATCTTGTCATTTCACTTTGATTTCATAACGCAAAGATCTTGCGTAAGATATTATTCTGTGGAATTGAGCTGGCCTTAATTTCATAGAGTGAGTTCTTACACAAACGTCACTACAACATCTGTAGATTTGAAGCACAGAGTACATTGTGCTGTGTGCTTCAAAAATGTCCTGCGTGAGATTCTGTCTCTTACTGTGACAGTGTTTGCAAAAACCTTTGAGTGACTCAAAAGTTATCGCAACAGAATCTGGTTCCAGCTGCTCTCACCTGTTTGGTGCGTCTAAACATGGGGGCGGGGCTGGTGGGACAGCTGTGCCGGGCAGCGAGGCGAGAGGAGGGTGTCCACAGGCCCTCCACGGGGTCAAACAAGTCGAGACTCAACACTGGAAAGCCGTCATACCTGATGAAGAACAGACAAATACATTAGGAACTTCCCTGTGTGTCAGATGTTACAGAAAAACTAAAGACTGATTATTATACTGATATGAGTTGCYTTTACACAGCAGGGTCTGAATGGGTTTGGGGACTGATCATATTATCTGACGGCTACAGAACAATCTTGCTCATATATTCATTATTTGTGCACATAATTTAACATAATTTAATTTGTCTTACTATACAGCACTGTGGTTGTCCTTGTGRTTTTTAAAATGTGCTCTATAAATAAAGTTGATTGATTGATTGATATTATTTGATATGTACACTCAAACAAGATATCTGTAATTTGTGTTGTGCATTAGGACATTTGAACACCATGGAACAAAAGGGTTTGTTTACTCGCTGCTGTTCATAGTTCACGTGTTAAATCTTTCTGACCATCCAGTCTGTAGTGTTTCAACACCTCTGTGCACAACACCCAGAACAATCTCACTGTTGGGCTCAGCTCTATTTAAGATGGCCACCACAGTCAACTGACAATAAAAAAAACACAAAATTAATTCAAACAATTTCACAGATATTGAGTAAAAATTAGTGTGGTAGTAGCTGAGCATTAGCCCCAACACATCCTCCAGGCATTTAACATCTCTGCCTAAAACCTTGTCAATAACTACTGGATTAAACTCTGTGGAAAAACTGTAAATGAGTGAAATTACATTATGAAACACAGGATAAATTTGAATTAATTTACCAGGATGTAGTCACTTGATGTACATCTGAAGTCAGCTCAATTTAAGATAGCTGCCACAACTAACCTACCTCAGCAAAGACAACAATGAATATAACTCAGTATGTCTGACAGATAGAGAACTACAGTTTAATGTGGTAATACTTAATAATCATTCATAACACATACTTTGATCCTTTCAGCACAAATACTTTCAACAAGATCTTTGAATTTTGCATGAGATTGCATATAATGCAATTAATGCAATTTATGAGGTTTGACCAAAACAACTACAGCTCTGTCCCTTCTCATCATAAAATTCAAAACAATTTATAACAATTTGTATTTCTTAAAGAGAAGCTAGGCTTTTATTTAAGAATGCAAAAGAGCAACAGGATTCTGTGGTCTAAGCTTCTAATGATATTGTACAATCCAGTTACTGACTTGTTAGTCTGTTTAGTCATTATGCTTTAAAAGCTTGATAGAGAAGCTTCAACATACTCATTAGATCCATCTGTTTCATTTTTTGTTAGAAAAATACTTAATGAGCCAATCACTTGGCAGAAACTCGATGAAATACACTTGCTGAGGTTCAAACTGGGCATCAGAATGGGGAAGGAAGGGGATTTAAGTGATTTTGAATGTGGTGCAGTTGCTGATGCCAGACAGTCTGGTCAGAGTATTTCAGAAACTGACAGTGTATTGTGATTCTTCCAATCATGTCTGGGGTTTAAAGAGAGTGGGCCAAAAAGAAAGAGAAAAGATCAAATGAGAAGCATCTGTGAGGACAACGAAGCCTTGTTACAGTCAGGGATCAGGGGAGAGTGGACAGACTGGTTCCTGTTGCAAGAAAGGCAACAGCAAATAACCCTTTGTGACAAATAAAGAAATCCAACACACCACATCTAAACATGGAGCAGGTGGGCTACAGCAGCAGAAGACCACTCTGAGTGCCCCTACTCTCAGCTGAGAACAGGAAACTGATAAACAGTTCAGACTCACCAAAACTGAACAACAAGAAGAGGGAAATAAAAACACATTGTCCTCTCTGAGCAGTCTCAACCACTGGACTCCAGTGGTCTCCACAGTCACCAGAGCTCAATCCAACCACTCACCTTTGATGTGGTGAAATGGGAGACTCACATCATGGATGTTTAGCTGACAAATCTGCAGCAACATCCTGTTCCATCATGTCATAAACTAAAACGTCTGAGCAGTTTTTCCAACACCTCGTCTTGTTCAGTCTATGACATGAATAATTTAAGCAGTCCTGGAGTTGAACCTACCAAATTCTGTAAATATAAACAATTGAGCAACACTTCTAAATGTTGTGTTTTTACCTGTAGCATAATGGATGCTCCTCTCCATCAGCTAATGGAGGAAGTTCTGGAGGCGTGATGAAGACCGTGTGCTCACTGCGCTGGGACTCATCTGTCTCTATCAGCCTGGCCTCCTCTGTCCTGTCACCATCCACCTGCAGAGAACAGCACAGACAGATTTATGTTGTAGTGCTGTGTCTAAAAATAAACAGGATGAAATGTATACGAGTAGATGCATTATTTCAAAAAGTTTATTTTTTTTATTGTCAGAAAATAATTTTTAGCAGTGTTGAAGCTGTCAATCTGAGACAGAGGAGAATATGATAAGTGACTTAAGAGTTTCAGAGGTGAAGTGCTGGTTCCTCACTCCTCCCACCCCTGTGTTTGTCTCAGGAATACTCTCTCCACCTCTGCAGGCCCTTTACAAATTATTCAAACTGAAGTCACAAACATACAATATATGGAACATCTTATAAAATATAAGTTCAAACTATAAACAGAACAGAAGTTGCGAGTCCTCAATAAAGACAAATACATCTTCTGGGATAGGCAAAACTAAGCTCAAAGCTACCCAACAACAACATGGAGTGGGCATCTGCTGCCCACGTCCAAAAAGCTACAAGTTACAACTTCTGTTGTATGCATGGTTTATATATACTCCTGTGATAATTACAGTGGTTTGCAAAAGTATTCATACCCCTTGAACTTTTCCATATTTTGTCACATTACAACCACAAACATAAATATATTTC